TGAGTTTATATACCTGATCAGGCTTGTGAGGATCTTCAAAACCTGGATGGTTGTTCTACATGTACTTCTTCTTTGATGTAGCCATTCAAGAATGCGCTTTTGACGTCCATCTGAAATAGTTTAAAATCACAGAAACAAGCATAAGCTAGTAAAATTCTTATTGCTTCTAACCTGGCCACCGGAGCATACGTTTCATCGTAATCTATTCCTTCCTCTTATAAATATCATTTGGCCACAAGTCTTGCTTTATTTCTGATGAATTTTCCTTGATCATCCAGTTTATTTCGAAATACCCATTTTGTTCCAATAACTAAGTGATTTTTGGGTCTAGGAATGAGTTCCCATACTTGATTGATCTTAAATTGTAAAAGTTCCTCTTGCATAGCTTCAATCCAGCTTTAATCTTTCAAGGCATCTTTGACATTCTTTGGTTCAACTTCAGAAATGAGAGCCAGCGTATTTATGACTTATTTTGCCTTTGCTTTGGTTTTGATCCCTTCATTTAAATTTTCAATGATGAGGTCTTTGGGATGACTGGATTTTGGCTTCCAGTTTCTGTTGAATCTTTCATCGTTTTCATCATTAAGATTTGATGATTCTTCATTGTCTTATTGGTTTGATGATTCCTGAGCTTCATCAGATCTTTGATTCTGATCATTTTCACTTGCCGTCAATTCATCATATGCTATGTCAGATTCTTCAGATGCTAGATTTTCAGTGTCAGAATCATCTTGTTGAGTCTGAATTGAATCTTCAAACTTGACATTTAATGATTCTTCTACTTTTTAAGTATTTTTATTGTATACTCTGTAAGCCTTGCTTGTTGTTGAGTATCCAAGAAAGATTCCTTCATCTGACTTTTCATCAAACTTACCAACACGATCATTAGGATTTTTAAGAATAAAACATTTACATCCAAATATTCGAAAGTACGAGACATTAGGAATTTTACCTTTGAACAATTCATAAGGAGTCTTTTCAAGAATTTGTCTTGGAAAAATTCTATTTGAAATATAACAGGCTGTTGATACAGCTTCAGCCCAAAAATTTGCTGGAGTTTTGTTTTCAAATATAAGAGTTCTAGCCATTTCTTGCAAAGTTATATTCTTTCTTTCAACTACTCCATTTTGTTCAAGAGTATAGGGTGAGGAAAAAGTATGTTGAATACCATTTTCATCACATAAATTAGAAAAATTTTGATTTTCAAATTCTTTTCCATAATCTGATCTAATGCTCGAAATAGTATAACCTTTTCCATTTTGTACCTTTTTGGTAAATTTTGAGAAATATTCAAATGTTTCACTTTTATGAGCCAAAAAGAATACCCAAGTAAATCTTGAATAATCATCTACAATACCTAAACAGTATTTCTTACCTCCAAGACTTAGAGTTTGAGTAGGTCCAAAAATATCCATATGAAGCAACTGCAAAGCTCGGTTAGTACTGATATAGTTTATTGATTTAAATGAACTTCTTACTTGTTTACCTTTAGAGCAAGTTGAACATAATTCAGTGTTCTTGAATTTTCGTTCTGGCAGTCCTTTGACGAGTTTCTTTGAGGCTATTTTGGAAATTAACTTGACACTTATGTGTCCAAGCTTCCTGTGCCACTGATTAGATTCTTCTTTTATGGAAACTAGACATTGCAAGTCGTTAGACTTCGTGTCTAGTAGATAAATATTTCCATGTCTTCGACCCGTAAATAATTGCTTATTGTCTTTACTTATCCCAGAACATTTGTCTTCTTGAAAAATAATTCTGTAACAAATATCACATAATTGACTAATGCTAATTAAATTGAAGTTCAAACCTTCAACTAGTGAGACTTCGTTGATGATGAGATTTTCGATTCTGACAGTTCCTTTGCCAATTATTTTTCCTTTGTTGTTGCTTCCAAAGGATACACTTCCTCCTTTAATTCTTTCTAACTGGATAAATTTCAGAGGATCTCCGATCATGTGTCTTGAGCAACCACTGTCAGTATACCACTTGTTCTTTCTTTTCTTTAGTATCTACAAAAGATAAGTAACTCACTTTTTCTTTGGTACCCATATTTTCTTGGGTCCATTTTGGTTAGGATCAATCATTCTTAGAATATCTCTCTAAAGAGGTCTCCAAACCTTAGGACAATCACTCTTAAAGTGATTTGAATCACCACAATTTGAACACTTATAGGAAGTTTGACCATTGAATTTCACAAACTGTTTTTGAAAGTGATTTTGATACATAAATTTGGAAGGTCTTTTCTTTAGTCTATCTTTGACATTGGAAAAAGTATTTTTTAATTCAATATTTTTCTCAAAATCCAAACCTGATTTATTATAATAAGGAATTTGAATTGATAAAATATGTTTAAGATTTTTCGAACCCATTGAAAATTTTTTGGTTATATTAGAAATTTCATTTTTCAGAAGTTCTTTTTCATTAGAGATGCGATCAAAACTTTCCGTAGAAATATTTTTCAGATCAGAAATTTCCATTTTCAGTAAATCATTTTCCTTTTCAAGAAAATCTTTATTCTTCTTGATAAGATTAAACTCTTTTTGCAAAAAATAAATCTTATCCTTTTGCGAAATATCTTGCTATTTTAAAAGATTGTTTTCCTTTTTTTTAAAATCATTTTCATATGCAATTGACTCATTAATTTCCTTATTTTAAGTCACACTTTTTAAAGTTAAAATCTCATTCTTCAATACATAAATCTTTTAAAGGCATTTTTATTAACAGAGACTAACTCATCAATATAATTTGCAATTACTTCAGGAATATTGAAATTACTTACCTCGTCTTCTTCATCAGAACTTGATTCTGAGTCTGAATTTGATATCAAACATATATTGGCAAACTCTTGTTCGCTTTCATCATCTTCTGAATCACTCCATGTTTAAGCTTTGAAAGCCTTCTTATATCGTTCATACTTTCCTTTGTTCTTTTTGAGAAGAGGACATTTGGGCTTTATGTGTCTGTTCTTTTTGCAGTGGAAACATATCATGTCCTTGTTTTCCTCATCTTCGGCACTTGATTTCTTCTGAAAGTTTAGCTTCTTGGCCTTTGATGACTCAGAATTCTTGAATTGCTTCTTTGACTTATTCATTTTCACTTTATTTGCCATCTTTCTCAGTTTTTTTACCATTAGAGCCAACTCTTCATCTTCGTCTTCATCTGAATCTATATCTGTGTCATTAGAATCAATGTTAGTTTTTAAAGCAATGGACTTTTTACCTTTGGATTCTTCAGTTTCTAAGAAATTTTCTATTTCATAGGATTGAAGAGTTCCTATAAGTTCGTCCACCGTGAGTGGTATGATCCCCTGAGTTTCTCGAATAGAGACTTTGATGTTGTTCCACTCTTTTGAAAGAGCTCTCAGCAATTTGTTCACCTTCATAGGTTTTGAGATGGGATTATTTTGAAATTCAAGCCCATTTACAATCTCAGTGAATCTGCTCTGCATCTCGGAAATTGTTTCGTTTGGTTTTTGAGTGAAGGACTCGTACTGCCCAAGGCGAATGTTGAGGTTTGTCTCCTTGACTCTCTCTGTTCCTTCATGAACAAGCTTGAGACGATCCCAAATTTCTTTTGTAGTTTTGAGATTTACAATTCATTTATATTCAACACTCGCTAGATCATTGTATATGACCGTTCTGATCTTTGCATCCAGATGGATCCTTTTGGAAATTTCCTTGGCCGAGAGAGGTAGAGCTTGAGGTCTGATTTGCTCTCTTATTCCTTCGGAAGAAGGAGTCTCATTTTGCCCTTTTGAAGTTTCTGGGGATTTTGTTTCGGTTGAAACATTTGGAATGATTTCGTGTTCAACGATGTCCCATATATCTTGATCTATTCCCAAGATGAATGTCTTCATCTTGTTTTCCCAGACACTGTACTTAGTTCCATTGAAATAAGGTAGTCTGTTGTTGTGACCTGACTCAGCATTACTAGCCATCAAGAATCGTTAGCTCAGAAGTAAAATAACACTTCAAAAAATGAGCACTAGGCTCTGAAACCAATTGTTACGGCTAGTGCTATCACCTAGAGGGGGTGAATAGGTGATTTTATCAAATTGAATGATTTACACGTGCGGAATGAATATAGTCTAGGTCAACAACTCGTATGATCAATATCAGATGGATGCGTATGATAAACTTAAATGTAAATTGTCGTCAGATGATTGCGTCTGATGACTAAGATGATGTTTTAACGAGCTTATTTGATAGATATGTATACAGTATAATGTTAGTAATAATAAATGAAAGTTTAGGGATAGAACATACTGCACACAAATCTTTATAGTGGTTCGGCTTATCAAGCCTACGTCCACTCTCCACGCTGGCAGCATGTTGGCTGTGTTTCACTATTGAATCACAAAGAGATTACAAGAGCAGTGCCTCTCAGATGATAGACTGTACTATCACATACACTCTTCACTCAAGTAATTTTCTTTCTAAAATCACAACGTGGAATACAGTAATCACAAGTGTGCAAGATTGAAGCTCTATTCAGACTTTGGAATTCTCGATTCTGGTTTTTCTTCTTGTATGATGTTTACACTCCTTTTATACTCCTCTACTTCCAATCTATCCGTTGGACAGTCTTCAGAGAATTGATCTCCAAATCAACCCGTTGGAGAAACTTCCCAAAAAGAAAATGCATAGCTGTTAGAAGAAGAACCATTATCTCTGGAAGATTTGATCACTCATACAATCAAATCAAGGTTTCCATAAGTGTAGTTCTTCGTGTTTAAGGAACGATCTTGTGATTGCCAATTAGAATATATCAAAATATTAATTTGATTGTCCTGCATAAACTTGCCAAAAATAACACTTATTGAATCTGACGAGTAATTTTGAGTCTGATAACAAAGTCCTTTCATTGACTAAGTCTGATGATTCAGCATTTACTTGCATCAAATAACTTAAGTGTAATTATGGTCAGTAAAAGATTGTTTTGTTATTCTTCGAAACTAATTAGGGATTTTTCTCAACAAAATGAACATCCGATGCAACCCAAGTTTCTTTATGATGGTGATTCTACACAAGCCAATTAAAACATTAAATAGGCTCAGAAGATAAAATCAGATATGCATGTTAAAGCATTTTAACATTAAACTACATTTTCATCAAATAGCTTAAACTTTCTCCTAAATTGCACGTATTATATCAATTTTTACATTGTACCAGATCAGGAGGTTGTGTTCACTTCAAAACTGAATTGCCTCCAATTTATAATCAATTTCAATGGCTTAATCTTGACCAAATTCCGGCTTACACGTGAAGGGAAGTTTAACAGCATGTAACTATCAAGCCACGCCTTTATAAGCCAGCTTATAAACATTGTGCACTCACGCTTTCTAGAGACGTATGCTCATGTCAAACTCAGACAAATAGTTTAAAAAGAACAAGACTCCTGTATAGCATCACTAAATGTCTACATGCCAATGTGCTTCATTGCTGCCTTAATACAATTGAAAGCCAGCACTTCAGTCAAATGATTACCAAATCACCAGGCACATCAGAAACATCCATCGTATTTGCCGAGATCAGTGTATCTGAGTGTGATGGTTCATGAAAGGCTAGATTTTCGAAAGTACTATCTTCGAGCCTTATGGGTGAGTAATCAAATATATCTTTAGGTATGGAGGTAGGAGCTGAGCCTTGATCAAGATGGGTTTCACACAGAACCAGATCTCGGGGCATATCACTAGGCTCAACTTCTGAATTAGTGATGGAAAAAGTAGGTTTCCCTACTCCACTTTGTAATTCGGTCTCCAATAGATCTTTTCTCTTGGGCCTTCCTAGAATTACCAATTTTGAAAAAATTAGACAGCAGATGCAGCAAATAAGTGGCAAGTGAACTGCACTCAATAAGCAAAGTCAATACCGACGCCTGATGCAGTGATTCTCTCACGTGAACCGTCTGTAGTTTGCACATCAGGAAAAGTCTCCGCTTCCTGCATAGAACCAACATTTATTCACTAAATTAAGGTCAATTATTCCAAGTTAAAGAGAGAAATCTGCAAACATGTACAGGTAGTCACCTCTGTTTCTGACCTGTCCTTGTCAATACAACAATCCCCATAAACAGAGGCAGCATCTCGCCCATCCATTGCCATGTCTTGGGTCTCCTTTTCACAGAAACTAGAATGAATGTGAGGTTGTGCAACATCACTTATGCTAGCTTCGATTGATTCAAGGTAATTAGAAGCTGGAAGATCTGAATCTCTTGTTCCGTTTATGTCCCTTGAAGGAAGAATGGATGTGTTTTCTGACAACATGGTCATATCCTCCTGACTAGTATCACCAGTATCTGCAGACAGAAACTAGTTTCCATGATGAGCATCAGTATCAACTTTATTGTGGGACTCAATAGCCTTGCGGTCAGTGAATGAAAACAAGTGATATGATCACCAATATTCAGCAAACCACAGGGCAAATGTGTCCTACAATAGAGTTCATGGTGATGCTCATCATGACAACAAGTTTCTATCTGCAGATATTAGTAGTACTAGTCAAGAAAATACGGCCTCATAAAAACAAACCCAAAACTTAGCTAAGACATGAACATTTGTAAAACATTAAGTCATTTCCAGGATCAATAATATTGATATTATTCCTCATTTAATTTTAGTAAGTCTCGCCCGAAATTGAGCTCTCTCAGGATACTAACCGATAGGGAATGGCTAATTAGGAAACGGTACATGGACCAGTGACCCGATCGCGAATCGGGCACCGATTCCGAAAAACGACGAGGAAATTTTTTGGTCCAACGTGGGCCGATCCTAGGAGGGTGACGGATTTAATTTAGCCAATGACGTATGATCGGATCGCGGGTGATTCTGCACGACCGAGAGTACGCGTGGCGAACAAATCCCGAACTTAAATCGAACGATCGCGACCTCTGAAATTAGCGATAATTCCTCACGTTCTCCCGGTAATCGAGACCATCATAACTCGAATAACCCTAGGTCGATACGTGTAACCCCTAAACAGCCGCCCGTTAGTGAGAGACCCTAAAATTTTAAATTGAGCAATTTTGATCACGGAATTGGATCCGGACTTGTACGTCGGATTTTGGGATCGTGAACGACTATTTCGCGAGGACGACGTCATTTTAGTGTGGCCACATGTATTTGGGGTTGGTACGATCGAAAAATGGAAATTCGGCCCGAAACCGGAAAATGACCATTTTGCCCCTAGGCTTAATTTGGGTATTCCGAATTTTTGGAGATATTTGGGGATTAATTTAAGGGTTAATTAGGCCTTGTATCAGCCCAATAATTAAGCCAAAGAATTACCAAAGTGCCCCTCCATTATTTGGATAAGGTTTAATGTGGGCCAAGCTTTCAATGGCTTTTTTGGAATTTTTGGAAATGTTAGTCAAATCCCTTTGACCCATTAATAAATTTGTTTTTCCCCCATTACTCCCTCACTCATCCGGCCAATTCTCTTTCCTCTCCCCCTCTCCCGAAAATCTCTCTCTTTCTCTCCCTCTTGCCATGAGCAACGCCGACCGCCGGAGCACGCCGCGCCGCCGCACGCCGTTTGCCACCACCCGTCACCACCCAACTTGACTTCTCTCTCCTCCCTTGCGACCACCAGCCTCACCTCCCCTGTTTCGCCGTCGTTCGGTTCGGCCAAGGTCCGCCGGACCGCCGCCTAAGCTCCGCCGCCGTAGACGCCACCAAGACGCCGCCGCCGATTCCGCCGCATGTCGGCGATTGGCCGCTCGTTCCCCCGTCGTTTAGTTGAGCTTGGAGATTAGTTAGTGTGAGTAATTAACTCCTAAATCTTAACTAGGACTATAATGCATTTCTAGATAGGATTATGTGGATTTTAGGGGTCAATTAGATGGGTATTAGGCTTATTTATGGGCTGATGACCATCGGCTGATTATATGGAATATTTGAGAGTTAATAAGTTAATTAAGAGGAGGATTAGTGCCCTAATGTTGGCTGTTTTGTGGCTGTCCCCATTGGATCCGAATTTGATTAAATTGACTAAATTGAGATTAATTGGATTAATGCCGTGATTGTCCGAATTAAGCAATTCAATGGCTAATTGATACTTGATTGAGTTCAATTGTGTGATGCCACGTGTATTTGTTTAATGGCCGAAAATGAGATTGAAAATTGGACCTCGAATATGTGGTTTTATGTCGCATTAATTATGTGAATTTGGTGCCGTGTCGAGTTGTATATCAATTGAATTATTGGATATGCTGATGAGGTGCGAATTGAATGTATTATGACATAATTGTGGCATGTCATGGCTAGTGAGCATATTATGGCACCTATAGAGCATGTTGTGGCTTATTTGAATCGTATGCTCGTGATTGTAATTGAATGCTCATATTGCATGGCCACGCATTCCGTATGCTGAGAATGGGCATGAGACGAAATTGTGCGGTTTTGCGTGCCTGACATGAGCATGTGTGATCACCCTAAATGCCTTGATGAGCTTACGCGGGGTTCAGATAAAATTGACAATGTGCCGTGTGATCACTTAAGGGCTTTCGGGTCGTGGCCTTCGGGTCGATTCCGTCCGTTGCGTTTACGCGGGATGATGCCCGGTTTGTCCGGAAGATTAAGGAGATCGGTGTTGCGCCTGATGCGTTTACGCGGGCTAGAGACACCGGGCCACATGTGCTTTGGCGCGGGCCGTGAAGTGTTGTTGGCCTTCGGGTCGGTTTATAAATTGTAAAATGAGTCGTGTGCCAGTGTGCATCGTTTAAGCTAAATCATGAGCATGGCAAATGTGTGCCAGAGTATGTGGCCATTGTGCGTACCAGTGATCTATGTATGAGACAGGCACTATTGAGCATGAGCATGCGTATGGCGTACGTGTGACCAGTGTGTCGCGTATGTGCCGTGATTTATATAAAATGCCTAATCTGCAGGGTCAACGAGGTAGGTGATCTGGGCCCGAGGGCCTAGGTCTATTGTTATTATTACTGGTTGTGTACTGGTTGATTGTGGTTGGTCGCCTGTCAGGAGGTGCATGTTAGCCTAGTTTAGGTTTAGGGGTTTTTACTCGCTGAGATTCGTCTCATTGTTGTATAAATCCAAACTTTTCAGAACCCCGGACTGATGAAGCCGGATGCTCCCGGTGCGTTTTGGGATTCCGCGCCAGTTAGGGCGACTGCTACTCGGTACCCTTTAGAGGATGGAAGTGTGTATATTAGGTATCATTCTATGTTACTGGTAGACGTGGGAGAGCCTTATCCCCAGCACCATGAGTACGTAGCTTGGATTCTTAGAGATCAATTTGAGGATCATGAACCTCTTCGCATCTTCGATGTTCTAGTTAACGGGCAGGGTGGAGTAGACCCGCAGTGTCCCGATGGAGAAGTGGTTAGCCCTGATGCCTCGTCTAATGGGAGTTCAAATTCGGGAGCCGAACCTTACGCTTGGGAGGTCGATGACGTGGAGCCGATGGAAGCAGAGAAGGACCTGAACCCATGGAGCTGGAGGGTGTGGCAGAGCCTATGAACGAGGATGAGGAGGACGAGGAGGCTGAGTCCGTGTTGGACTCATTAGATTCAGAGGAGAAGTTGCCTGATAGTTCTTCATCTTCAGAGTCTTTTGGTTCTGACCCGGACTAGGTCCCTTAAGTTAGCCTCAGCTGAGCTAGGTCGGGCCGCACCTTTTTGATTAGAGCCCCGCCTTAGTCTAGTATCCCTAACCTCCCAGGCCACTGTCCCTTTTTTATCATAGTGGCCGCTGACTTGTTTTTGGTTTCTTGTTGTACTCCTTGTAGATGGATGTTGTGTATATTCCCTTGGTAATGCAAAAGTATGTTTGTAATAATATGAATTCCCGTTGTCGCGCTATCCTTGGTTATCTTACGAATTGTTCGGGTGTATATATCTATTTATATACGTTGCTTCCACTTGTGTAATGATTCTCTGTGCGCGTTGGGCGTTGGGTCGGCGACGCGTCCTGGGACGTCGCATCAATTCGACCTTTGTGTGGGATGTAGCGCTTCGTGCGGTATGGGGCGTGACATCCCCGTCCGAATTGGTATCAGAATAAGGTCAGCTCGGTCCAATCAGGTCGAAACTTGGAGTGATATAGAGCGATGACCTTGGGTAGCCAGTAGGGTGACCTTGTGTACTGAGTGTACCTCCTGACTGTCTGTGTTTTGATTGGTTGTGGGAATTGACTCACGAAGTGCAGGTGCGGCAGGACCTGAGGTGAGTATGTGTACCTCCTTGTTTGTGGTCCTGTGTTGTTTGTCCTTAGCCGCATGCTGAGTGATTAATTGTTGTTGTGCTAGCTACCTGTCTAGGACCTTAGACCGGTTTAGTTGGTTTAGGTCTCTGATTCCTAGTGGAATTATAGCAAGTAGGCGGGTAATGAGATCGGTACCATGAGGCGTCGAGGAAAGGAACCCTAGGGGCAATCTAGTGCAGGAGCCTAAGAGGCCCCGAATCCTAGAATGGAGGATGTGATTCAGACTTTGCACGAGATAGGGAACATTATGGGTATGCAAGCTCAGGAAAGAGCCGCCGTCATAGCCCAGGCTGCTGAGGCTGCAGCCGCCGCTGCTGTGAATGAGAATAATGCCAATCCGGGACAGGCTCAAATGGCGGTAAACAGATAGATGCATCAGCTAGTAGAGCAGTTTTTAAAGTTAAGGCCGCCTAAGTTTACCGGGAAAGGTGACCCCGAAGCTGCACCGAGGTGGATAGAGGAACTAGAAAAGGCGTTTGAGGTGTTGGGGTGTACCAAGCAGGAGAAGGTAACTCTGGCAGTGTACCGGTTGTAGGAAAATGCGAATGATTGGTGGAAGGCTACCAGAGGTCGAGTGTTTCCGGAAGTTGTCGCCCAGACTTGGGCAGGGTTCACTAAGAATTTTTATTGGAAATACTTCTTGGAAAGTGCTAGGGAAAGGAAGATAGCAGAATTTATACGACTCCGCTAAGGTCAAATGACTGTAGATCAGTATGAGGCAGAATTCGCTAGATTGTCCAAGTTTGCGCCAAGGATGGTAGAATATCCCGAGGATAAGGCACGAAGGTTCCGGGAAGGGTTGAAGGCTGACTTTCGTACCCAGTTGATACCTGCAAATTTGAGAACCTATGAGGACATTTATGATAGAGCTCAGGCTCTTGAGCGGGACCAGGTTGACAGGGCAGTCGTATCTGGATCGCGGTTTACTCAGATTAGGGACAACCGCCGCTTTGGAAAGAGACCGATGATAGGAAATAGGCGCTTCATCCCACCCGCCAGAAGGAATATTGGAAAGCCAAACCCTCCACCGAATCGAGTTGGGGCATGTTTTAGACGTGGGAGTTTGGAGCGTCAAATTAAAAGTTGTCCCCAGCAGCGCCCTTCAGGACCCCAGAGCAACCGCAGCAACCCCGAATATGGAATCAAGCCGGGAATCCCCCATCGGCTAATCAGGGCAGGCCGCCAGCACAAGGACGAGTTTATGCAATGGCGCGTAGAAAGGCGGAGGATACGCCG